TAAACCCTTTATCCAGTTTTAAGATTTTGGTATCTGAATGGTAAAAGTTGATTCTAATGGATTAGAGACACAACTGGGAAATGTTCTTATTTTTGAAATGGCAAAATCACATTAAAAATAAATAACTAGGGCATAGTGAGCATTTTGACCACTATTTTCCAGGGGCCCATATTCTACCCACAGCTCCACCAAATACCAAATAGTATGACTTGAGCAATTTACTTCCTCCGTTTTCTTCAACTATAAATCAGGGATAAAAATAGCTACCTGACACTGCCTATGCCATTTCAGGAGAATCAAATTAAATAATGAGGTGATATCACTCAAATCATAGTATATAATTACAGAAGAGTCAGGCTACTGTAGAAAATTTTGCTGAAAATATTTAGATTTTTAAATCCCACACATGTGTTTGGTTGCCATTGCTATTATTTCTGTCTTGCTCACTATGCTGGCATCTCTTAAAAGAAAATAAGGACAGAGCAAAGTGCTTAAGGTGGTCATTGAAGTGTCTCAAGGATAGAAATACATAATTATCTAGGAATTTTTTCATTTAAAATGCAACATGGAGCTGTAGGACAGTCTACACAAGAATCTAGAAATCAGAATGCTTCCAGCCTGTTAAGAGGAGAGGACAAGAACTTCATTCATGCAGTGTTGGTCATGGTAGCAGTCCCAAGGGCTCAGAAAAATCCAGCTAAAAAAAATCCAATTCACAATGGAGCTCTTGAGCCTCTGTTTCCTAAGAAGGTTGTTTTATCAAGAAAGAATATTGACATGCTATATTACAGTAGGGACTGTGGGAATGTCTTTCCTTAGTTAGGGGGACTATTTAATTAGGAAATACAATGGTTAGCGTTGCATACTCCTATTAAACACGCTATTTCTTTTTTTAATTATTTCTTATTTTGTGCTCCATTTCTTTTTTTAAAATATATTTTATTGATTTGTTACAGAGAGGAAGGGAGAGGGATAGAGTTAGAAACATAAATGAGAGAGAAACATTGATCAGCTGCCTCCTGCACACCTCCTACTGGGGATGTACCCACAACCAAGGTACATGCCCTTGACCAGAATCTAACCTGGGACCTTTCAGTCCACAGGCCGGTGCTCTATCCACTGAGCCAAACCGGTTAGGGCATTTACTCCATTTCTTTATTACCTCTCTATCTAATATCTATCTATCTATCTATCTAGTTCATCTAAAAAGAGAATTTATTTTTATTTCTTAAAGCTATATTTTATCCTGATTTCCTATATTATTTGGGGGGGATTTAATGAAATTAAAATAAATCCATACATTTCTATTTTTCATGCCAAATCCTGTGTTTGAATAACATTTGTCATCAATACATTTCTTTAAAAATATGTTTTTATTGATTTTTTAGAAAGAGAGAAAGGGAGAGGGACAGAGAGTAAGAAACATTGATGAGAGAGAAATATCAATAGACTGCCTCCTGCATGCCCCCCCCCTCCAATTGAGGATTGAGCCTGCAACCTCGAGCATGTGCCCTGATCCAGAATTGAACTGTCAACCTCTTGGTTCCTGGGTGGACACTCAACTGCTGAGCCATACTGGCTGGGTTGTCATCAATACGTTTGGGGAGGAAATGAGAAAAAAAGAAATTAAATTCTGCGTCTAAGCTAATATTTTGCATTTGCTCTCATGTAGGGTTCCTGCTTTATATGTTTCATCTCCACATTCAACCCATAGGTTTGACATATATTTTTTTAAAAAAAGGAAGGTACAAAATTGGTTAACAAAGTCTAAAAACTAATTGTTAAACTTATTTAATAGTGAATTGTTTCTAATATGTTTTTTCTTGCTTCTCCCCCAATCCTTCAAGTGCCCAGGGCCATGTATTTTGACATCCCACTGGAACAGGGAGAAACAAGTATTATTAAAAGGCATCCACCCCGAAGACTTCAAGTAAGATAAATTTGAAAAGCTTCATAGGAATTTAATGGTCACATCCCTTTTTAACTATAATCATAAAAGAGGGATATTAAAAAGGACCAAGCAAACAAGAATGACAGTAATGTTAAAGAGAATGTTATCAATGCAAAGACCATCTTTCTTTCGGTTTCCACTTGTAATGATTTCACTTTTTAAAGCCACTACCAAAAGGAGAAAGTATAGTACCAAAGACATAGCCATGATGAGGCTCAAAGGACCTGAAGCTTGCATTGATTAGTTGAGTGACTATGGGGAAATCACTTGTAATAGACAATGATAACAATAACAATAGCTAGCACTATTTAATTTTCACCTACTACAAGTCAGAGAGACCCCAGACAACTTGATCTATATCATCCATTTAATCCTCAAACCCCTCTTTGAGAAAGAAAGCATTATCTTTGTTGTGTTCATGTAGTTCAGAGAGTTAACAAGGACAACAGAGACCACATATCAATCAGGTCTCCACACCCCTTTTTCTTAACCGGGCAGAGATGATCTCTACAGCCCTTCTGTCCCTACCCTTCTATTGTTTTAAGTGTCAACTGGTTGTTGAAATTGAGAACATTGGATTTCAAGGCAGCAAAGCAAATTTTAAATGCACTCACCTTAATAAATATTTAATGAATTTTCTCTAGAGAACTGTAAAGTCTCAGAACTCTCACTGTAGAAGGGGAAAGAGATATGAGTGGGTCTTTGAAAATAAGCACCAGCTGAAAGCAGGGCTGGGGTGGGGGTGGGGGGAGAAGGGGGATTGTCTCAGTGAGCAGGATCTATTGCTGACATTTGAAAAGAATCAAAGCCAAATCCCACCTGCTACACAATTCACCCAGATGACTAGACCAATCCCAGGTGTATCTGAGCTCATTTGTTAGGCATTATTTCTGTTTTTAGTTGGTTTTTATTTACCTGTTTTCTCCAAAAGCTCACAATCATTATTTGATCTGATTATATCTTTTGGTCACACACAAAAAAGCATCTTTTCCCAAACGATTAAAAGCCTTAAAATATTGTTTAATGAAAAGTAACCAGTGAAAAGTAAGTGTGTAGCAGTCTGTAGTTCACAAAGTGCTTTTCATACCTAGCCATCCTGAATACGCTGAAAGAGTGCATCAATCCATCAAGCTCAAAAAGAGAACTCTGGTATTTCAAAGACTGCATCCCCACATCCTAACCAAACCACCTTAAAAAGAAAAATCAAGACAAATGAATTATTTGAGCTCAAAGACCATGTGTTATCCAGTCTTATATCCTCAGTCACTAACACTTAATACAGGCCCCACAATATTTTGTGAATGAACGAACAGATCAATGAATAAGAAAGAGACCCATTGTCCCTCGTGGGGGAAAAAAAATCAAAGTGCACTCCCTGCTGGAGACCTGTAGCATCACTAGATTGGAAGTCCAATTGTCTAACCCACATAACAAATGTGATGAATAATAAGGACAGAGGAGTGTTTTATTGAACCCCAGAGTTGGGAGGCACCTGCACTTCAGGGAAGAACTGTGCCTTGGAACCTGAAAGGCAGAACTTCCTTTGTGTCTCCCCTGTGCTATTCTCTCTGCATTTGCTTTATTCCCTCCCTGCAAATCAACTTTCCCAGCTCCTCAAGACCATCGGTGATATGTGACCAATAATTTGCATCTTACAGTTCCAGTCAAACAGTGTGGCCTGGCCCTCTTGGCTCCAATTCCAAATTCCTGAGAGAGAAAGAAATCTTATTGGCTCAGCTCCGCTCATGACTCCAGGTTTGGTCCAAAGAGCTATGACCAGGGGGCATGCCATGCAGTGGAAATGTAGGTTCTGAAGGCAGCTCCCTGAGAAGAGGGAAATCACTGGGAACTTGGCAGGTATCTGAAAGAAATAAACTATAATTATCTTTCACAAATGAGACTCAGCACACTTTCCACTACAAATGGGTTTTTGAGAGAATAATAAATGCTGGGTTCCCATGACATGCTAATTAATAGCCTAATCCCTGGCAGGGAAAATTCTAAAAGTGTTTTTTAAATTATTAAACCAAGTTGAATCGCACCTTAAATAATTTGACTTGCATATTTGGCACTCCCTACTTCCTGAACATCTACTCCTCAAGCAAAGAGCAGGGCATGAACTCAGGTTCTCTCTAACTTGGAGTTGCTTGGATCTGAGAACCTCTTCCAGGGAACTCTACAGCAAATGTGCCTGCCCCGTGCTGAAGAGTCGACCATCACTGTCCCTCTGGCCTGATTCACCTTCCCATCCAGCTATCTCAGGTCCAGCCTAAGATGGAGATGTCCACCCCAACCCCCCACCCCACTCTATAGTGTTTTCTCAGGTAATCTCAAATGATTCCCTCATCTCCAAAGATTTGCTCAAATCTCACCTTCCCTGGAAAGCTTATCCTGACAATCCATTGACAATTGCAACCCTCACCCTAGCTCTCCTGATTGCCCTGGCCCTTCACTATTCCCCACCCCACCCCCACCCCCCAGAACACTTATTTTCATCCAACACAAGCAATTTACTTACCTATTATGTTCTTCAGTGCCTTTTCACCCTCCCCCAACCCCAATGCTAGAATATAATCTTCACAGAAGCAGGGATTTCTGTCTGTTGTCTTCTATACTGTATATAAGTATCTAAAACAGTACATGGCAGGTAGTAGGTGAGCAATAAGTATGTGTTGAATGAATGAATGAATGAATGAATGAATGAATGAATGGAGAGGAGAGAAAGATGAGCACAAAGACTGGTGATGAGAGATACGGAGGATGGCTCTGACCTGGGTGGTCTATGCTGTTTGGGGTATTAGACAATTTGTCACAAACTTCTTTTTCTTTACCTTTTTTGGTCCTTTGCCAATTTTCTATCAGCTTTTTCTTTGTGATTCATACGAATTCTTTATGAGACCTGGTCCTTTTTCAATGATCTGTGCTGCAAATATCTTCTTTTCATCTATGGTTTGCTTTTTCATTTGGCACATGCGCATGCACGGGTGTGTGTACACATGAATTTCCAGTTTTAATGTCAGATTTCTCGATCTTAAGCTTTATGTTTTGTATTTCTTGTATTTTGACTAATTATTCTCTTTCCCAAGTTTGTAAAGATATTTTGTATTTCTAACATTTATACTATTTAACTTTTCACACTTAGGTCTTAATCCATCTGAAATTCATTTGTGTGCAGGTGTGAGGTTGAAATCTAACTTTACTTTTTCCCCATTTGATTAATCTATTGCCCCAGCGCTCTTTACAGAATCATTCATTCTTTTGAAATCATTGATTTGAAATGTTACTTCTGTCATATATCCAATATCCAAAGCTTCATGAGCCTGTTTCTGGACTCTCTCCTCTGTTGTGCTGGTCTACTTGGTATCTGCATGGGAATTCCACACTGTCGTAGCTATTAACTTTAAACCGAGTTTTTATATACAATAAGGGAAGTCCCCTCACTTTATTCTTCTTCAGAATTATCTTTTGCTATCCATAGCCCTTTGCTCTTCCATGTGTAGTTTGGATCTTCTTGGCAAGTTCCACAAAAAACCTTATCAGCATTAATAGATTAACTTGGGGAAGATTAGCCAAGTTTACAATATTGAGTCTTCTAAACCATGAGCATGGCATAAATCTCCACTTATATTTTCTTTTAGATATTTCAATAATATTTCATAATTTTTCGACAGAGGTCTTGTGTAATTTTTTTTGTTATATTTCTTGGTACATCTCTCAGCTTACATGTTGATGCAGCTTTTTTTTCACCAGGAAAAGGGGTGAAGAATAATGCAGCTCTTGAGTTGAAACTGTGAGCCTGGCTCTAGTTTCCCATCTTGTATGGAGCACTCTTAGGTCCCATTTAACCTATAGAAATAACTCACAGCCATCAGGAATCCTAAATGCCTTATTGATCTGTCTCCCCCAAATTTTCTGTTCTGTTTTCTAAGTCAGGGAGATACATATCTTGTATCAAAGACTGACCATATCTTTTTGGTTTCCTGCTTTATTTTTTTTATTGCTATACGTTTGGAGCAATGAATGTTATTAAAATGTGAGCTCCTTGCAATGCTTTGACCAGAAATTCCCCCTTGGCCTTACGATTTCTTCCTCCAAGGCTGTCTTGGACATCTTGACCTTTGTCCCAGAGCCTTAGAGGACACATTCTTCAGTCATGGTGCCAAATGAACGTTATGCTTTCTTCAGGTTGTCGCTGCCCACCTTTCTCCTACTAGTAAATAGAAGCTCAGGTTAGTGTTTGTCACCACTAACAGATTGAATCTCCTGTCTCGTATGTGACATTTCCACTGGTTGTCCTGACAATTTGTTTTATTTGAAAAACCAAATAATCCAGAAATCTTTAGACAAGTAATTTTTTTAAGTATCATTCTAACAATTCTCCAAGTAATTCCTTCAGTTGTATTCTCTCTGAAGGTGATGAAGTGAGGCATCCCATTTCCCAGGGAGGGAAAAGGAACTAAATATGAAGCCAGAATTCTGAGGCCACTTCACTTGACTACTTTGTTTAGAGAAGCCAATTTTCCACCAATATTTTCTGCAGTGCTTCCCAGGTCAAGTAAAAAAGATTTAGCAGAGGGATCCTATTTGCAATGTTAGTTGCTGCCATCTAGTGTCCTTTGGGGGAGAAATAGTGTGAGCCCTTAGGTTCTTTTCAATGGCTAGAAAGAAAGTAATTGCCTGCAGAGAGTACTTGAAGACACCTGCTACCTAACCCTTATCAGAACTGCAGGTACATCAGTCAGACTCCTTGGTATTTACCCCAAGTGAATCGAAATCTCATATCCATACAGAAGTCTACACATAGATGTTTACAGCAGCTTTATTCATAATTGCCAAAACTTGGAAGCAACCAAGATACCCTTCAGTAGGTGAGTGGGTAAATAAATTGTGATATATCCAGAAAATAGAATAATTTAGCATTAAAAGGAAATGTGCCTACCAAGCCATGAAAAGACATGGAGGAAACATAAATGCATATTACTAAGTGAAAGAAATCAATCTGAAAAGACTGCAGACTGTGTGATTCCAACTTTATGACATTCCGGGAAATGTAAAACTATAGAGATAGTCATGGAAATACTAGTTGTCACCAGGAGTTAGGGGGAAAGAGGGATGAGTAAACAGGCAGAACACAGAGGATTTGGAGAGTAATATAACCACCTCTATATGGTACTTCAATGGTAGGTTCATGTCATTATACATTTGTCCAAACCCATTAGAATGTACAACACCAAGAGTGAACCTTACTGTAAACTAAAGACTTTGGGTGATAATGACATGTCACTGTAGGTTTATCAGTTGTGATCAATGTTCCAATCTGGTGCAGGCTGTTGATAATGGAGAGGTTGTGAGCAGAAGGTATATGAGAGCTCTACTGTCTGCACAATTTTGCTGGGAACCTAAATCTGCTCAAAAAATAAAGTTCATTAATTAAACATACACACAAATATACGTATATACTATTTTTTTTTTCCAGAACATAGCCCAGATCTGTTGAATCTCAATCCCCAGTGAATTGCTCAGGGCTTTTTTCTTTTCATTCCCAGAGTTTCTAGTGATAAATCAGGTTTAGGAACAAGTAGTGGAGGAAAAAAGGATGAAGTTCGGAACTGGACAGACCTGAGTTTGAATCCTGGAGTTGCCACTTACTAGCTATGCAACTTTGGATACGTCACTAACCTCTCTGACATGGGGAACCATCATCATCATCATCCATAGGGTTCCCATGACAATTGAATGAGATGACATATTGTGACCCTGAGCATGATGGACAATAGCGGCTGCAAAGGCATTTCGGCCTAATCACCAGAAAGAACCGAATCCTGAACCACGCCAGGGGATAGCATAAACACTTCCTGTTCTTTCCTCACCCCCCAAACTCCCTAGTTATTGCTGATTCTCCCTCCCATTTGCCTGGATATCCCTTGACCCTTGGTCTCCATCCCCCTTCCTTTTCTACTCCATTCCCCTCAGGGTTCTGACTTGACCAGCTGCTGCTTCCTCTGCCAGCAGGTCCCGTTTGTCCTGCATCTTTGTGTTCTGCAGAGAAGAGAGACAAACCTCTCTCTTATTAGTATTGATCACCTCTCATTAGCTCCTTGCTAAGTCACTATGTTAAAAACAAACAAAAAGCTACTTCCTCACGTTAGGCTGCTTTAGCAGAAGGACATGCTGGCTGCCCTCCCGGGAACAGCCCAGGCCCAGGCCCGGGACCAGGAACGGTCCCATAGGGAAGTAGCAGGAGGCACATGTCGCTCTCCCACTATAAGTGCTGGATGCTCAGCGTCCATCTCCCGTGGTCTCGCTCTGTCTCTTTTCACTCTTGGAAGCTACACGGCTTCCAGGACTACGCCTTCATAATACAACACATCAGACTACAATGAAAAGTAATTTCAAAAGATGTTAGGATTTGCCTTTCATGTTGGACTAAGGGAGTAGTGCTCACATTGTTTGTTGCAGCACATGGCATCCTGGTTCCCTCCTGCTTCCCGAGCCATCACTCTGTCTCCTTGGCCATTTCCTCTTCACACACCAGCCTCTCGGTGTTGGACTCCTTGGCGCTGCTCTTCTCATTCTTGACGCGCCCATGACTATGGCTTCAGTTTTGCTTTACCCAGGAATGACCCCCAGCACAGACCTGTCCTCTGAACTCCATGCCTGTTCAACACCTCAACATCTACTCAGCATCTACACTGATATGTCTCAAAGGCTTCTCAAACACAACCAGCTCTAAACCCAATTTGTATTTTCCTGCTATATTCTGCCTAAACCTGGTCCTCCTCTAGAATTCCCCATCTCGGTGACTGATAACACTATCTGTACCTTGTATCTGAATATCATCTGGACACTCCACTCTCCCTCACCAGCCATCATGAATCCTGTTTGGTCAGTTTTAAATATTTGTAGAGTCCATCAAGTGTCCTTCCAGGAGCCACAGTCGCTCCCTCCCCCTCCTCCCCCCACCACCACTACTCTCTTTAGTTGTTTAGTTTCCACACTGCAGCTACCGTGATCATTTTTAAAAACAACTGCAGCAATCGTGTCACTACTTTGCTTCAAATGTGTCAATGGCTGCGCATAGTCTTAAGAAAACCAACATCTGATACTACCCTATTAGGCCTGGCATAAGCTGACCCTGCCTCCCTCTCCAGCCTCATTTGAGCGGCTCTCCTCTCACTCTGAACTGCAGCCAACTTCTTGCAATTCCTTCAATAGCTCGTGCACTCTTCTAACCTTCGTCCCCTTAATACTTCCAACCTTCCAACTTCTGCTGAAAATTACTTCTTCAGCAAACTTTCGGGGACTGCCTCCTTACCCCTCTCCCTCTTGTATTATTTTTCTAGGGCTACAATCATGAAGTGTAAAAAACTGTGTGACTTAAAATAACAGAAATGCACTATGTCACAGTCTGGAAGCTAGAGGTGTGAAATCGAGGTGTTGGCAGGGCAGGTTTCTTCTGAGGGCTGGGAGGGAGAGTCTGTCCCATGCCTTTCTCTTAGCTTCTGGTGATTTGCCGGCAGCCTTTGGCATTCCTTTTCTTGTGAAACATCACTCCAACGTCCACCGTGATCTTCACGTGGTGATCTTCCAAATTTCCTCTTCTTATGAGGACACCAACATATTGAATTAAAGGTCCAGCCTACTCCCGAATACCCTCATATTAACTAATTGTATCTGCAAGGACCCCATTACCCAATAAAGTCACATTCTGAGGTACTAGGGGTTAGAACTTCAACGTATAGGTTTGGGAGAAGGAACACAATTCAACTCATAATACCACCCATTTCTGAGGTGGAGTCCTCCAGGAATAATACATTGTCATAGTCCTGCCCTGCAGACTTTTCCCTCAAGTGCTGATTAGTTTGTAATTCTTAATCAAATAATCACACAAGCAAAAGTTTATCTGCTCCTCCTCCCCCATGGACTGTAAGCTCCATGAGGAACCATGACCATTTTTCTTGACCACTGTACCCCCATGCCTGGCATATGGCAATTGTTCAATAAGTATTCACTGAGTGAAGCAATGAACTCCATGGCCCTCCAGGTCGTTGACTGCATGGCAATGTGAGCAGGGCAGCCTTTATGTCCCTGCCTACTCAATCTCCTCCCAGTGCTCTAGCTTCTGGAGCAGCCAGTCATCTGAGGCAAGTAGGACTGGAGGCAGATCTACTGCTTCATCAATTGCTGCCCAATTAGTGACCCCTTGAAACTCCAGCATCACTTTCCCTATGCAGCCAAACCCCCGCTAGGAAAAGTCATGTCTAAGATTTGTTAACACACTGAACTCCATTTCACGTGTGCCTCTTAAGCACCACGGATTATTATTGAGGAGGATAAGGGAGCTTCTCTGAAGATGTTAAAATACGTCACTTCTCCAGGAACCAGAAGAGTTCAGCTGGGTGGTTAATGGATGAGGAAAATAACTTCTTGGTGCTTCTTTCATCTCTAATACTCTAAGATCCTCATTATTCGATAACTTTAGACATGGTCCCTCAATGCAGCTAGAAAAGGATTCTTAGTCTTTTAACTCTCTGACCACTATTTAGATCAATAAGTCACTGACCACAGTGCAATAGAACCATACAGAACCCAGAATACCACTGTAATCCCATTGAAATTGCCTTCTCTGTGTGCTCTCAAGAGCAAGTGCGGCTTTCGCAAAGTGTTAAGATAGTTTAATGCCTGGCTTTTATGTTTCATCATCTCATGGCTCGAGGAATGCTGAATGCTCTAAATGTTGGACTTCTAGAAGCTTGAACCCATTGACCTGCCACAAGTAATTACTTCTGAAAGGATCTTGAGCCAGCGAGAACCCAGGAAGACTCACAAAGCAAAGGTAAACTGCAGTGGTACTCGGAGAGGGTGGGTGTAACTGGAGGGTGGGGCTGTGCTTTTCACGTACTCCCTGCACAGAGGACTTCAAAGCAAATCACACTATTACGTTATTCAGTGTTTGAACTTGATAAAGCCCTCTGTCTTCTCCTGGGCCTGCCTCCTGCTGGCAACTGCTCTTGCCTGTCAGGTGAACCCATGGCCCTTCTCCACTTCCTGGGGGAACAGGGAGAAGAAGAAGAGATAGAGAAATTGTACTTGGAAATTGGTGATTCTAGAAGTGTTCAAATATGTGGGAAAATCCAGCATAACTCTTCCCTTTCGTTTCTTCCACTCGGCTAAAACTTTCTCTTTGTTCTCAGTTTTCAGGATAAATCATATTACAACGCACCAAAAAGTCATCCTGGAAAGGGCCTGCTGTAAAATTCTTTCTTTTTATAAACTTGTCACACTCTGCTGAGAAAACTCCCCTCGTGCAGAAATGTAAAATGTGAGGTGGAAGCAGATTTCTAACACTTTCTACTCCTGATTCATTTTGGAACCAGCTAGATACTGCTGTGTGCTGGCTCACTTGGTAGAAGATGTCCAGGTAGTTTTGGATCCTCAAGGCCATGTTTGTGAGGCTGATAGCACCTCAGGGGATGGCCTCTCCCTGAGGCTCACATCAGTGAACACAGTCATTGTCCACAGGCCACCATAAAACAGCACTGAACGCATCTGGTGGTAAATGAGTGTGCACTCATCCCTGATTCCCTCAATGACGGTCAGCACTGTCCCACTGGAGTTTATGGGAAGAGCACCAAAGCCACAAATAGTCAACTTCAAGTCCTTCCTAAACTGTAATATACCAGAGCTTATGTTGGTATATAGGGGAACACTCTGTATAAATAGGTTCTAATTTCATAGCCAGACAAGTAGTCAGTGGTAGAAGAGACAGGGAGAAAGAGAGAGAGGTTGGTCTCATCAAACCAGAACACATTTCTGGGGAGATAGTAATACGCATCTATTGATAGGGGAAGTGATATCTTGTCAAAATGAGATGTGAAAAGGTATGTCCATTCAAGGTCTGAAACACTCCACAGGAACCTTAAAAACCTACATTGCACACAGTGCCAACTGCCACGCCATTCGCTGGCAGCTACACAAAGGTCTTACCTGGGAACTGCAGTGGTTCGCCTTTGATGTCAGAGGAGATCTCTATGGACTACGATTGTGGATTCATCTTGTTCTGCTCCGAAAAGGATTTCAAGTTTAGATTGCAGAGTCCGTAACTAGTTACCTCACACTAATGAAGGTGTCATCTTTTGTAGCAGGAATTGGAAAAGAAGATGCAAATTCCAATGTATACTTCTGGGAAAAGACAATATTTACATAAGATGCAAATGCTGGAAATAAACCGGAAAAGACAAGAGGTAAATGTGAGAAGAATATCATATTTACCAAAGTCACTGAACATGATAACTGCCCTGGCACATGGATGTAGTTAAGGGTTCATCTCCAGTCTTTTTAAATCTAGCCATTAGATCCAAAAGATTCAACTACAGGAGTTGGGAAGAACCAGCAATATTCCTTCTCCTACCAACTAAGTCTTTCCTCTGTTTTCAATCCTCATAGGATGTAGCTGTGTCTCAGGTCTCTCTTTTGAAACTCTTGCTTCTATGACATTCTGGCTCCAGCAGAAAAAAATGGGATAGATCATTTTTCTTGGTTTAGTAAAAAAAAGGGGGGGTGAGTGGTGTGGGGTTGGTCTTTATTTTAATACTGAAGCATCTCTGCAATGTATGCCATAGAGTGGTGGTCGGCAAACTGTGGCCCCTGGAGCGTGGCTCTTCCACAAAATACCGTGTGCGGGCGCACACATACAGTGCGATTGGAACTTCGTGGCTACACTCAAGGGTCCAAAGAGTCACATGTGGCTCGCGAGCCGCAGTTTGACGACCACTGCCATAGAGCGATCTTACAAGAAAGTCCTCTTGTTACAAAGCCATGTACAGTATGGCTCCAAACTTCTCACTCCAGTGAATAAGCCTAAAACCACTGTCTGCTGTTATTTCAAATATATCAACTAGCCTTCGGAGAAATGCTTTCACAGAAGTCCTCACCTTTTTGAGGCTGTGGATATACTCCCCCTTCTCCTAACAAACCTGTGCTTAAAGAAAAACTCTGTGCCTTCTATAGGAAAAAGAGAGTCCCATTCTGATTAGGGGACCATAGATGCCCACGGATGATTACACAACTGGCAAAGTGGCTGACCCATGGACCTATTCTGGTGAAAGTAGCTGAGGGTGGAGATGGGGGTTGGGAGGACTTGAACCATTTATAACTGATCGTTTTCAGGCCCAAGTGGAGTTGAAGAAAAGTCTGCAGCAGGAGGCGAGGATTAATAAGGAGAAACCGAGGGACAGCACAGCCAAGAAAATCCTTGACAGCATCCCCAGAGATGACGGTGACTTTCTAACCGTGTTGCCTGATGAAACCTTAAACCCAAGTCCAGGTGAGTCATGCCATTTTTTCAGTAAAATAAAGTATTTCAAGTGTTTCAATCACCACCAAATAAACGTTCAGGGGTACAGGTAGGAACTTGTTAGGGCAGGAGGTCAGTGAACAGCCTGAGGTCCCAGCTGATATTTACTTCCTGGAATATAGCGGGTAGGTCATCATGTAATTTGGATAGCCCGGAAGAAAAGGCAGAAGTTTAAGCACTGTAATAAGATGCTTCTTTCTTTATAGAGCAGTGATGGCGAACCTTTTGAGCTCGGCGTGTCAGCATTTTGAAAAACCCTAACTTAACTCTGGTGCCGTGTCACATATAGAAATTTTTTGATATTTGCAACCATAGTAAAACAAAGACTTATATTTTTGATATTTATTTTATATATTTAAATGCCATTTAACCAAGGAAAATCAACCAAAAAAAGGAGTTCGCGTGTCACCCCTGACACGCATGTCACAGGTTTGCCATCACTGTTATAGAGGCTTACTGTACTTTGTACGCATTATTGGCAATCCTCGCTCCATCCCTAGGAGGGAAAAAGGCCAAAGAGCCTCACCTTGTGGTGAGAGAGAATAAAGCACGTGGAGGCTATATTAAACGGGAAATTGGTATCAGCTGGTTGGGTGCCACAGGCAGACACTCTCACCCCCGGCCCACTCTTCCCCCCACAGCACACTCGGAATATCTAAACTGAATCCAAGCCTGCTCCTGCATCCATGCATTCAGCGAGGCCTCCATGCTCTGGGGCCTTTCCAGCCCTTCTGTTCCCTCTCCTTGCAGCTGGTCAGTCGCCAAGTCCTGTTGAGGTCGCCTAGCGCTGAAATCTCCCTTCTGTCTCCCATTCCCCATATCACCTTTAGGCCATCGTGTCATACCAGGGCTACTGCGACAGCCTCCTGACTGCACTCCTCACTCAGGTCTCACCCTCCCACATCAGCCCTCCACTTCAGTGGTTCTCAGTGTGGTCCCCAGACCTCCAGCACCAGCCTCACCTGGGAACGTGTTAGGGCCCCAGCCAGAGTGACTGAATCAGAAACTGCAAGGCTGGGCACAGCAATCTGGGTTTAACACCCTCTACCGTGGTGATTCGATGCCAGTAAAGTTTAAGAACCACAGGTCTATTGTCCACAGACCAGCAGGGTCTGCATCACCTGGGAGTTTATTAGAAATGCGGAATTTCAGACCCCACCCCAGACCGACTGAATCAGGCCCCGCATTTTGTCAAGATTCCAAAGTGGTTCCCCTGCACAATAATGTTCTAGAAGTACTGCACTCAGAGTGGAGGAGCCTTATACAATGCAAATCTGACCAACTCACTGTGTTGCTAAAAGAAATCCTTCAGTGAGTCCCCATCAGCCTGAGGACAAAGCCTAACTCCCTCCCTGGCTTCATCTCCTGCCATTCTCCTACCCAGCCCCACACCGCAGTCATCCCAGATTGCTCACAGCCTCAGACTGCGGTGCGATTTCCAACAGATATCTGCATACGTAACCCCTGCGCTATGTTGCCCCACCAATGAGAGCCCCATCAAGTTTGCCCTGTCTGTATTGCTCCAGGGCAAGCCCACCCTTGCAAATGTACAAGATTGTCTACACTCTTAGATTGCCCTGCTGTGGGCCAAATCCCCACTCAGCAAGACTGACCACTGAGAGCTCTAGGGAGAAGCTGGCCGCGCCTCTGGTGGCCTTGGGCTTCTAAGAGCAAAATAGGCAGCTGAAAGCGACCCTGCTCCTGCTCAGAAGAACAAGATGCTTAATCAATAACGTTAATGAAATAAGGACAGGCTGAATAATTGAAAATCTACTTGAGGCATCTATGTAACCTATACTCCTGAGTCCCGGAATAAAATATGCCGTGTAATCATGCAGAAAAACAACTTTTACAATTAAAAAAAATATTGACAGAACAACTAAGAAAAGTGCCTCAGCTACAGTTAGACATAGAGACTCATTGTTTGAGATCAGGCCAAGGAAAACCAACGCAGGTGTAGTCTTTGGGAGATGTTCCAGAATTGGAGGGGCTCAGGGGAGACTGTGACACATGGTGACGGGGTTTTCCTGCTTTCCCCATGCTTTTCCGAGCTGCTTCATTTTGCTCTGGCAAAGGTTTATGGAGTGCTCACTATAAGCCAGGCACTGTGGTCTGCCCTTAAATGCATTACTGCGTTTAATCCTCACATAACCTATAAGGTAGGAGTTACTATTAGGTCCCATGTAACAGAGCCAATATTCAAGGCCCAGTCCTTCTGACTCCCAGGTGTGCTCTCTCACCCACCCTCTTGTACAGCCTTGTTGGAGCTTTGTCCAGACAACCGTGGGAAAGTCTGCAAATACAGAGGTTGTGACTCCTCAGCCTTATCTTTCAAGAGAAGGCTGCCCTCTGCAAAGCCTATAGATTTCACCACGGCAGTAGGCATATGCTGGATCAATGATTCCTTTTCACTTATTCCCAAATAGTGCCTTTGATTTCTTCCCCTGTCTTCTAAAAGCAATTCTCTTTGCTTTCTCCTAGAAATGGAGTGTAGCCAAGAGCATAGACTTACAGGAGGATCCTGCTAGTTACATTCTGGTAGTTAAGGTTCCTCTGTACCCATCTCTGATTTTATGCTGTATTTGCCTATTCCATTCCCTCTTTTGGAATTGACGTGAGAGTTCAAGTCGCTTACTTCCTGCAGCTTCTTTAAAATGAAATCACCCACATTTTACATATATTTATATCATAAATTATATATACTGTATATGTATATATATATAAAATGATACATAACTTACACAAAGTGAACATCATTTTTTGGAGCTAAAAATTCTATGAGTTTTAAGATGTTTGTGTTGCTCTTGCCCTTTCCAGAAGCCATATGTAGTGGGTAGAAAAAGCCATGGACTTAGAATCAAGGTCTTTCATTTGAGCCCCACCAGGACATTTATTAACTGTAATAAATGGGAGCAGGGACCTTCTCTAGCTCTCAGAACAGTGCCTGGTACATAGTATCTCTCAATAATTATTAGCTATATGTCTACATGAGATTATTCTATAGACAAAGAGATTACAGCTAAATTATAGTCATTTAACCTCTGCAAACCTCAATTTCCACATCTGTAAAATGAGAATATAAAGCATGTCACCAAGTAGGTTTTATGTAAAATTAATATAAATCTGTGGGAAAGCACATATAAAATGTAAAGTGTCATGTAAATGCATGGGAATATGGACCAAACTGAAGAAAGATGGAACTGATATCTTATAGTGAAAATAACTATATACCTCAGGGAAGTGTCATCCTAAATACATCATTTGTCACCTGCACAATTCTGGTCTTATCTGGACACCTGTGCTATTATTTACTTAGTATTTTTCTTTAAGCTTCTTCTAAGAACAAGGGCAACTTTCCTACATAACCACAATATAATTATTACACTTACAAATGTTAACATTTGTACATGCTATTTTCTAATGTTTGGTCCGTATATGTAAGTATCGATGGTTATCCCCATAATGCCCTTTATGGCTACTTTTTGTTTCCCTGTTAGTGCTTTCTTTTTTAGATCCAGGATCCAAACCAGGATCATACATTGCATTTTATTTTCTGTTTCTCAATCTCCTTTTTTGCTTGTTTGTTTTATTTTTTTTTAGAGAGAGAGGATGGTGAGAGAGGGGAGAGAGAGAGAAAGAAAGAAACATTGATTTGTTGACCACTTATTTTTGCATTCATTGGTTAACTCTTGTATGTGTCCCAACCAGGGATCAAACCCGTTACCTTGGTGTATCAGGGCGATGCTCTAACCAGCTGAGGTATCTTGTCAGGGCTTCTTAGTCTCCTATTTTTTCTTCTTTTTTTCTTTTCTCCTTCCTGCCATTGTTCTTAGGAGATTTGTGGTGATGTGGTCTGGGGGGCAGTGACTCTACAACTAATTCTCAAATGGATCAACTGAAAAGTACATATATAATGACAAAATGTTGGTGAGTTGGAGTGTACAGGTATATGTACAGGTATAATATTCTTGCACCCTTCAGAAGATTTAAATTTTTTTAAAAAAAAGGAAAAGAGAAACATTTTGAATGCTTCCCCAGATGGAATCCTGTAGATGTGTATATATTTTTAAAAATACCAAACAGATTATTCTGTGTTCATACAAAAACAGGCACTTAAACAAATACACCATTGTCGGGGTGGGGGGGGATTAATTAAATCAACTTTTAATTTTTTGTAGGAAATTCACAGAATGCAGAATTTTTAGAACATCATTCAAGGAATGACTATGGTCCCCGGAAAATTGGCAAAATGGAAACATGGCTCCGTGAACAAGAGGCCCGGGGACAGGTGCTCTGGGACAGCTCTAGCTCGGACTCTGATGAGTTGGGGAAAGTCATGAAGAAACCACGAGCCCTGGTGAGGACCAGGACTGAGAGAATCCCACCTTTTGACGAGTTTTTTGATCGAGAATAAGAATGCTATTCACTAACCTAGATTCTCAGAGCACTGAAGGCTTACTTTCCCATAAAAACTCTTCAAGTTAGTATATGAATTATTCTGAGGGAGCCAATTCACTTGCTTTTTATTTGAAGTCTTATGATTAACAGGTGTGGCATAGTTTGTTAGTGATGCTGCATAACCAACTGCCTCGACACATAGGGTCATAAACAGCAGCCACATGTTGTTTCACTCTTCTGTGGGTTGCTGGGCTCAGTTGGGTGGTTCTTCTGCTGGTCCCTTGTGAAGTCTTTCATGAAGTTGAAGTCAGCCAGCAGCAAGGGCTTGACCAGGACACTGAGACAGCTGGACCTCACTCCCTCTCTATACAGCCTCAGAGCCTCTTCACATGGTCTCTCCAGTCAGGTAGTGAATGAGGAGCCCAGGGCTCCAAAAAACAAATGTTCCAAGAGGAGGAAGCAGAAGCTGCCAGTCCTCTAAAGGGTAATCATGGAACAGGTTCTGCATCACTCCTACATTCTGTTTGTTGAAGCAAATCATTGTCCAGATCACAGTCAGTGAAAAAGGGCTTGAATTCCAAACTGTGGCCCACTGGGTCCATCTTTAAGACTTGCCCCTACACCATATTTTTAAAAAGCAAATTATAGCTTATAAAGCAAAGAGATGAGAAAGTAGATTTGATACAAATAAAGATGAGTTTTTAAAGATGCTACATTAGAGACTAAGTTCACTAAGTCACAGTCTTGTGAGTTAGCAGTTTCTGATCTCATAACTGAGAGGTTACAGGAAACAGGTGGAATAATGTCTCATGTGAAATGAAGAACTCTTAAGAGTATGAGGTGATTTTTGAACTCTTTAAAACTAAAAGGAATGGTAAAAATATTCAATACAAAAGTTACTCCATTTATAAAAATTAGATTTTTAGGTAGCTTTAAGAGTTTCTTTGGTGTAAAATTAAGCTGTACTTTTAGCATACTCTAAAAGTACTTTTATGCCATCCAGAAGCTTCTAAAATATTAGTAAAACTTAAATCAAAATACTCTTTTAAGCCTTATTTAGGAGACCCCCTCTCAAAATAAAAAGAGGGAGTTACCCCCTGAATTTGATGTTCAGTGCATTTAAGTCAGTCACAAAGAACCGAAAAAGAAAGACTGCTGTGTCAGGGGCTAAACAATCATGTTTCCTTCAAGGACAAAAGGCCTCTAGGTCACCCCTAAGCATTGTTACTCCCAGTTCTTTGCAAGAAGTATTCTTACTTTTTCTGTGGTATATAAAAAGCATATTTCCTACAAAGGAATACATAATGGTTTGGCCAGTCAGCCTTCTTGAAAAAGTAAAATCCTTGAGAGAAAAAATGAGTCCAACCTATTCATAATGAATATTACGGTTTATCTGGAAGGTTTACAACAAAGTGGGGTGGTCAGCTCCCAGTGTGGAAGATAGTAGAGCTTAAGTATATCTTCATCATGGCGCTCTGTGACTTGAAATTGGAATAACACCTCCTTCTAGAACTCACTGGATTGTGAGCTCCATGAGGGCATGGACCATGTCTCCTCCAGGTGGCATCCCCACATCCTAGCACAACACCTGGCACTAATTAATAAATGTTTGTTGAATTCATTAGCTTATGTGTTGAGCTAACTAGCTAATTAGAGAGGCACTTGTTTCTTTCCAGCTGTGCAGTTGCTCCCTCTCATTTCCATCATTTCCCACGAGTCTGAAATGTACAAGGCTGGTTATTCAGTAAAGAAAGGAAAATGTCTTCAAAAGCTCATGAAATGTATACATCTAAATGGATGGCATGAATTAGACATTGCCTTGGGATACAGGAGCTAGACACATATGTACCATAGTGAGGATGCCATAGCTCAAAAATTTTTTCAAAACTCTATCAGAGTGTGTTAGCTGCAAAAAAAAAATCAATCATAATGGTGAAAACTATAAATTTCAGCCCAGGGGCAACGTTGTCAATCTTCTTCAACTGAAAATCTCCCCAGCTTTGGAAAGGAAAATGGCTTGTCAATGGCCAAATGCATGCTTCTCTTGTGAAAATAATATTTTCCTTCTAGCTCTGAATTTTTCAAAAGAAAATCTTTTTGGCACACTTTTGGGAACGTATCTTTCTCAATTGTTTTTTTCTTCTTTTTTTCATGCAAACAGCCATTTGTCTTCATCTATTTTGATGATAATTCTGAGTTACTTTACCTGCATTTAACTAAAGAGGACTCTTGTAGGAGTCACCTGTGAAATAGTCTTATAAACAAACAGATAATGTTTTCTGCTTGCACCAAGCTTTTAAACACAGAAAACAAAACTCCAGCTTTTTAGGCCACTTCCTTTCTTACCAGGAAAGCATGCAATCATCAAGTCATAATTAATATCAAATATTTCCTGCCTCAAATGAACAACAAAAGCCCATTTCCACATATTGCTGTAAAACCTCACTTATTCAGAATACTTACAGGGAGGGCTTCGGAGAAAGTGTGTTAAGGGGTAGATTGGGGAAGGTCAGACCATTAAAAATCTGAATTACATCTCATTTTTAAAAAAGAAGTACTATTTTTATTACAGTACAGGATAAACAAAACACATTTGAAAAAAGTCCATAGTTGAGATTTATTTTTTTAATGTCTTTATTGATTTTGAGAGAGAGAGAGAGAGAGAGAAAGGGAGAGAGAGAGAAACATCTATGTAAAAGAGAAACATTTGTTGGTTGCCTCCCAAACACACCCTTATCAGGGATTGAACCCACAACCTGGGCACGTGTTCTGACCAGGAATCAACAGGCAACCTTTGGGTGCACGGGCCAACGCTCAGCCAACTTAGCCGGACTGGCCAGGGCTGAGGTTCATTTTTAAATGTACACTTCAAAATAAGTCTGCAACTCATTTGTTCATTCATTTAATCATGCATTCAACAAACAGATTTGAGTATCTACGACATGCCAAGCACTGTTCCAGGTGCTGAAAATACAGCAATAACCGAGACAAAGTCCCTACACCAATAGGTTACATTCCAGTGGGGAGACCATGAGCAGAGAGGGTCGAATACATGACACAATTTCAGATAATATCAAACATGATGAAGAAAAACAAAGCGGATGAGAGGACAGGCACAGGTGGTGTGGACTGTTTCAGGCAGGATGCTCAGGGAGGGAGTCTCTGAGGGAGAGACTTGAATGAAGGGAGGGTGTGAACCACAAGAAGACCCATAGAAAATGTCTTCCAGGCATTGGAAGAGCAAATACAAAAGCCCTAGGGTGAGATGAGCTGTAATATTCAAGGGCCAACAAGAAGGCCAGGATGTCAAAGTGAAGAAGGGGATGACGTACATCAGAACGATCATCAGGACCCAAATGGTGAGAAGCCCGGAGGACCACAGTACAAAGATAGGTGTTAAGTGTAACAGAATTTCAGACAGAAGCGGCTGATCCTAGTGTAGACTGACATCTCCAATTTGATCATGAACAGAGGCAAACAGACCCACTGAAGTCACATGGCCATAGCTGCCTGACCTACACCTGACTCTTGACCTAACTGAGCCAGTCAGAGAAGGCCTCAGTCTCTGCTGGTGGCAGGAACCGCTGTGAAAACATTCAGGACCGATGGATAGTACTGTTCTGCCTGTGGGCCAGAGATGCAAGAACACTGCCCTGCAGTAAACAGAGAAGTAGAAATCAGGGACCCATCAAGGCCCCCACCATATTTTTTCCTCGCTCCCCCACCCTAAAACCCTCCTGCCCTTCATTCTGATACTATATCCTTATAGTAAATTCCACCTTCTGCTTGACCCAGCTCCAGATGATTTCTGTTTCTTAAAACCAAAGAATCTCAACTAATAGTTATTTGAAGAACACCACCCCCTTACCTGCTGGTGTAACGCTAAAGGTTGTGTGCACTGGAACTGGCAAGAGGTCCAGCTTCCAAGAGGAATTGTGAGATCTCTCCCCAAATTCGTGCTTCGTGAAGCCATGTCAGCTATGGTGGGAATATTTACACCACAAAAATTGGCAAATGTGACAAACCAGGGCTTATTTTCAGAGAGCTGGATGGTAGCACACCTGTCTAGAGGTAAACATCAATGGGCTCTAGAGTCACAGTTCACATCCCAGCTGTGCTGCTTCCTGTCTTAGGTAAATTATTTATCCTCTCTGGCCACAGCTTCCTCATTGTAAAATGGAGATAATCAGTGTCTACCTTATAGAGACAATGAAATAAAGATCATACAGGTAGAGTGCTGAGAACAGTGCCTGACACATAATAACTGCTCAATACATATCAGTTAACTAGCAGTATGATTCCTGTTGAAATTAGAAATAAAATAAGAATATTTTTTGTGGTTCTAAAAGTCCGATTTGTTCAACAAGACATGAAACAAAAGCAGAAGTACAGAGCTATGAAACTGTGAAAACAAATTCATCGTGATTCACAGATAATGTGATTGTAAGCTAGACCACCCAACAAATCAATGGGAAAACAATTTAGAATAATGGAATTATATAGGTATTTGAATAAAAGAAATATATTTTTTAAATCAATAGCTTTTGAAAACCATTTCTCAGAATTTATCCAAAGAGAATAAACATACTGCAAGGGAAGCCCGGGTCCCAGGTGCCAGAGGGAAGGTAAATTGTGATATATGCTAAAGAAATGCACTGTGAACATTATAGCAAGCAAACACACACACACACACACACACACACCAAAAAAACAGGAATAGCTAATAAACCAAAGAGAAAATAAAATAAATCATAAAAATTACTCAATCCAAAAAAAGTCAGGAAAAGAGGAAAAGAGTGAACAAAAGAGAAAAAGCAAAAACTAAATCCAAATAGCAAAGTGGCAAATTTAACCCAGGATTTAAATGCAGAGATGGTCAGATTGAATACCACTAAAAGAGCAGGAACCAAATCTATGCTATCTACAAGAAGCAAACTTTAAATATAATGACACAAGCAGGTTAAAAGTAAAAAGATGAACAAGGTATGCCATGCCAACACTAATCAAAAGAAAGCTGGAGTGTCCATATTACTATTCAATGAAGCAGACTTCAGAGCATATAAGTGGCATCATTACAGAGAGGAAGAGGGAGGGGAGAATGGGTGAAAGGTGAAGGGATTGTGAAGTATCGATCAGTAGTACCAAATAGTTCTAGGGATGTAAAGTACAGGATAGGGAATGTAGTCAATAACTCTGTACGGGGTGGGAACCACTTTGTAAAGTATACGATTATCTAACCACTATGTTGTATACCTGAAGCTAATCTATAATAATAAAAGCATAATATGCTAATAGACTGGACATCCTTCCAGACAACCTTCCAGAGGAAGCCAGGGCTGCGAGGGAAGCCAGTGCCGGCAGCTGGGTGAAGGAAGGCCTATTCTTGCACGAATTTAGTGCATCAGGCCTCTTGTAAAAAATAATATTGAATGTAAACTGTAATTGAAAAATAAAATAAAAAAAGAAAAACATCTGAGAGTGAAAAAAGGACTTTAAGTAATACTGATATTTTTCAGTTCAAAAAACATACTGCAAAAGACCCATTTCTTTGAATGAGATCTACCTTTTGCAGGCCTTCTTCAACCTAAGGGTTGTACAAGTTTGCCACCTACTGACCTTTTGCTAAAGTACCTCGTTCTCAAAATATTACTAGCATTCATAATTCTTTATCAGCAACATTCATCGAATGCATGCAACTATTTCCCAATAAAATGTGAAGCATTTTTAAAACTTTTATTTTAAAAATCCTATAAGGAAAAGCATTCAAAGCTCCTACCCAAATATTAAACAATGTTCAGTGTTCGTGTTCATTTGAAGGCCCTCTGCTGACCATTCTCATTACATGTACTGCTTAATCAAAAAAAAAACAAAAAGTAATCAGAAAACCTTGGGGATAGTGAGGACATTTTCCTGACACTTGGTTGGCTCACTTCGATGCTTCTTTTCCAGCCTGCTTTCCTCCCTGGGGTCTGAGTCCGCTGCCAGCCACTCCTGGTGGCCCTTGCCCGGAGAACAAGTCCGCAGAGAGCCTGGCCTCTGTCTTGTTCTGAGCTGACCTCAGCTTTTTCCATGATTTTTTGCAAAGTTGTTGTTATCTAGTTTGTGGCTTCTTTCCTGATTTCCAGTTTCAGAGATGGCCCTAAGAATAAGCTATAAAGGGAATACCAAGGCTTTACAATAATATCTAATTACTAGTAGGCTGGGAGCTCTTAGAGCAGTGGTTCTCAACCTTCCTAATGCCGTGACCCTTTAATACAGTTCCTCATGTTGTGGTGACCTCCAATTTCATTGTTACAAATTGAACATAATTAAAGCATAGTGATTAATCACAAAAAGAATATGTAATTATATATGTGTTTTCCGATGGTCTTAGGTGACCCCTGTGAAAGGGTCGTTCGACCCTCAAAGGGGTCGCGACCCACAGGTTGAGAACCGCTGTCTTAGAGGCAGACACAGAAAGCCATGCCCAGTTATTGTGTAGTGATCCCCTGCAGACCAGCTGTGAATGTCTCAAGTCAAGATGCATCATCCCCAAACTCTGAGGGCAGAGTCTGTCCCATTACGAATCCTCCCTTCTCCACTCCCATTTTTAATCTTTTCCTCATCCCTATTTCCCTTGCAGAACCTGTTAGGCTACCCTGTATCTCTTCCCCTTACTCTGCACGCTAGGATCTTCCCTGTAAATACTGAACAATAAAATTCTGTCCATTTGTCTAAGGGTGGAGGGCAGTAGGCCCAGAGGATTTCTGAAATCCCTAGTAGTCATCTAATTCTATGGTGATAGGCCAATCCACTGCAGAGTTGGTTTAAAACACCTTAGTATAGCCCTCACTGGTTTGGCTCAGTGGATAGAGTGTCAGCCTGAGGACTGAAGGGTCCTGGGTTCAATTCCAGTCAAGGGCACATGCCAGGGTTGCTGGCTCGATCCCCTAGTGGGAGGGCATGCAGGAGGCAGCCCATCAATGATTCTCTCTCATGATTGATGTTTCTATCTCTCCCTCTCCTTCTCCCTTCCTCTCTGAAATCAATAAAAAATATATTTTTTAAAAATAT